ATTACTTTCTAGTTATCTCTCAGATCTAACCGACTTGTAACCCTACCCCCGGACTATATAAGGTGGGGGGGACCCCTCCAAAATCACGGCATATCATACGATAGCTAATACAAACCAACAGACTACAGGAGTAAGGTATTACGTCATACTGATGGCCTGAACCTGTATAACTCGTGTGTCTCTATTGCCTTCTTGTTCTTGATCACGCTGTCCTATGCCGATCAATCTACCTTCGTGGGATACCCCTTGGAGGACTGCCAATGATATTCTGTTGACAGTTGGCGTGCCAGGTAGGGGTGTGCGTGCTGATTCCTTGTGGAACAAGATGGTTTTTTCGCAGGCTCTTCGTACCTCCCACATCCCGAGCAGATCTTCAAGGTCGGATCCATCTCATGGGTCATCAACGCTGACAGAGTCGGAGAGCTCCTCGAGCCGGTGCAGATCCGTTCTATGCCAACCACCCCCGCACCTGCAACTGTGGATCCGATGTTGGATCTACTTCCGAGGTCGCCTTCATCAACAACTCGTCACTCGCTTCCTCATTACCAGAGGGAGGCACATCAACAATAACGATCTGACCGAATCCATCGATCGGGTCGGTCTAAAGCTCACCGATTGCCTCTCTGTCGCTGAGTCAGCTCTAAACACTTTCGTTCAGCACTGACCACCCTCCGGTTCAGATCTATTGAAAGCTGCTCAGCAAACTCTGGGGGTTATGGCCCTACCCTTCGGGATCGCCAACACCGCCGCTACATATCAAGACACCCTGAGGGGCAAATTCGTCGACCAGGTGGGGGATATCCATCCTCTCGCCGACCAGATCGCCGACCAGCTTCCGCCGACGATCAACATGCTGCATGCCAGCCGATGCCCTAGAGCATCCCTCCAAACCATCCTGGAGGAAAATCCAGACTCCGAATCCTAGGGCTCCATAGAGACCCTCACCGAAACCTTCACCGAGCAACCCCCTCTCCCGCCTTTCTGAGGTGGCACGATTTTCAATGTTAGCATCGACAGCCCCCCTCGAAATGGCGAGACCGATCAGGAATGTGTCGCTCGTGAGAACAGGAACGTCAACCGTGCGTAGCGCCAGGAAAACGAGCGCGCTCTTGCAATGGGCGAGGCTGCTCGCAACAATCAGTTCGACTCGCAAGAAAGGCCGCTCCATCGCAATCACGACGAAGATTTTCTCCGCATCGACGACCAGGACATCTTCAAAACTCCAAGCGCCAACCTAGCGGTGTCCGCCAACAAGCTTGCTCGCCTGTCGCAGACGCCCGAGCTCGCCAAGGTCGCTGCTATGCTTAAAGCAGCACACTGTCAAGTAAATGAGATCCGAGAGGATCAGAGACCTTCGTGCTCCACGAGCATGATTCACCGATCAGCTGTGCATAGATCCAATCGCCACCCTAGTCAAAGCTGGTTCGCCGACCAGTCACTACCTCTCCAGGGGGGAGCCGAGGGTCACCGCGCCGAGCATCATTGCCAGCATGACCAGGAAGTCGAATAAGACGCTTGAGTACACCTCGACAACCTCTGGGATGCACGATGTCGTATCGAGCAACGCCGCTTCGGTCGCCATGAAGAAGAAGTACACCGTCGCTAGGAGTATGACCAAGAGTACAGCAACCCGGACTCAGCTCTAGAGCCGATCGCTGCCGTCAACGCTGCAGACCACGGCGCCGACAATCCAAAAGGGCCTCCAGCTTTCACCAGGGCGCTCTAAACACTCCAGTGGCCCCGTGGTTTTAAGATCACCGGGGTCAAGCCCTATGAAGGAAGGATGAACCCAACCCAGTGGCTGTAGGATTGTGCCACTACCGTCCACGCCACGGGAGGACACACCAACGTCATGGCAAATTATCTCCCCATCATGCTCACGCCAACCGCCATGAGCTGGTTCACAAGCCTCGCCCCGGAATCCATCGGATCTTGGGAAGAGTTGAAAAAAGTCTTCATCGACAACTACATGGCTACATGTACGTGGCTGGGCACCAAGCATGATCTCAACCACATCACCCAAAAGCCATCCGAGCTCCTCCGAAGCTACATCAAACGCTGTTTCGAGATGAGGAATTCTATTCCCAACATCACAGAAGCTGAGGTCATCACCGCCTTCGTCCGAGGACTTCATCACCGCGAGCTCCGTTCCAAGTTCAACCACGAGCCACCTACAGGCATCGGCGAGATTATCACGATCGCCAACCAATATGCTAACGCCGAGTAAGCTGAAGTGCGCTTCAATGAAGATACGGGCACAAATCACCCGCCTCGCTGCTACGACGACCGCCCCGATGATCGATGGCCACTACGACGACCGCAGTTTCCACCAGGGCAGCGGCCATGATCGGCCAGAAGGATCCAAGCCCGGTCAGAATCGCCGCCACCGGCCAGACCACTTCGTCACTAATGTCAATGAGCCTCATGCCAAGCGGAATTATGACGAGCAGTACAAGAAGATCCTCGATGGCCCATGCCCTCTCCACAAGAACGCCAAACACAAGATGAAAGACTGCCTCGGTTGGGCCAAGGAATTCTAGGACTAGAAGCTAGATGACGACATCAACGGTGGGAACGGAGGTCATCGACCACCTGGGGGCAATAACAACGCCTTCTAGGACCATGACAAGGTGGTTGCCACCATCTTCGGAGGCCTTGTCTCTACCGAGATCAGAAGAGAACGGAAGCTCGCCGCCCGGCGAGTGCTCGCCGTCACTTCCGAAGAAACCACCGCCAATCCTAGTTTTCGCCCATGGTCTGAGGTCTCCATCACCTTCAACAGGGCCGACCAGTGGGCGGACATACCCTACACAGGGCACTTCCCC